TTTTTTTTTTTTAAACAGGGTCTCACTATGTAATTGAGACTGACCTGGAACTCACTATGTAGCCCAGGCTGGTCTCAGACTCACCGTGATCCTCCTGCCTCAGCCTCCCGAGTGCTGGAATTACAGGCGTGAGCCACCAGACCTGGCTCATGTAACTTCATTTTGAAATAGCTGCTTTTTTGTCATTGCTGTTACCTTTCTTTCAAGATGTGAGTAGTATTAGGTAGATAAAATTACAGCCACATTTACCAAAAATGTGTGACTATACCCAAGAAGAATCTGAACATGAATTCAAAGTTCAGTTGATTCTGTGGATGACTGTGATTACCATGGGGTTGAATACTTTCACTTAGGCTATGATTATTTGTTGATTTTATGTATGTAAACTTTCAATTAAAAAAAAATGTATTGCATGGCTGACTGAAAATAAACCAGTTTACCCTTTGAACTTGGCTTTCAGAAAGTAGGCTTACCCTGGAAGTGCACAGCATGTCACTTGGAACATCTTTTTTCCTTGGTTCTACATTTTCCTCCTTAGTAGAGGTTTCTTTTCATTTCTTGGCCGAGCCTTTTGCTGACACTAATTGTTGTTAAAGTGGGTTTCTGGTAGTCTGTTATTGCCAGACTTGCATCAGTGTTATAATTGTTTTTTGTTTGTTTTGACATTTTGCTAGCTTTTTAGATACTGACTGTACATGTTTTTTCTTCCCTCTTTGTTGCTATTGCATTATGAATGTCTGCAGAAATTTTCCTAGCAAACATTTGATTGTTGAATCACACACACACACACACACACACACACACACACACACACACACACACACACACACACACACACACACACACACGAAATCCAGTGCACCTTTTCTTCCAGTGGACTTTGTGTTGCTTTCTGGGAGTGTGTGGGATACAAGTCTCTGCCAGCTCAGACAAATAAATGGCTGAAGTGTGCCTGATGATTTGGTGCTAACTAACATCATGGTTTTGGAAGAGTGCAACGACAGTGAAGTTGAAGAGTGTTTGGTTACATTCCTTCCTTTTAAATGTCTTTGATGAATACTCTACACTTGTCCAAGACAATGTATTAAAATTTTAAAAAGCCGATACAGTAATTCCAGATAAGAGCCTGGCAGCAGGGCTGTAAATTGGAGGTCGGTCTGGGCAATTTAGCAAGGCCCTGTCAAAATTTGGAAAGGGAGGGGTGTGTGCTGGTTATCACAAAATATTCTACTAAATTTCTTCTTTCTGGGCATTGTAACTGAAGACTATAGAGGATTGACACACTTAATACCTCCAGTCAGTGGTTTGGGAAAATGTTGCAAGGTTTCCGATTGTATCAACCACTTCCTGATTGTTTCTCTGTGTTTCATAATTCTAGAGGTACTTCTAAATACATTCTTTATTATTAGTGTCCAGTAACAACCTTACATGTAAGTTTCAACAATACCGAACACCTGTGTGCTTTGATTTGAATCACACATTATATATTTCATCATAAATTCATAAGACATTGCTCTGATGCCAGAAGTACTAGCATAGTTACATGGCATTAATCATATGAGTTATATGCTTAATTTCCATTGAGATCAGCCTTGGTCAGTTTCCCATACAAATACATAGTTTGTACCTATCCACAGGAACTGTTTTACGTGCTTAGGCAAGTATGCCTGTGGCTTAAGTAGAAGATTGGCAGGTTTATTATGCCTCTACCTTTGCAGTTGAATTTGTATTTTACGTTTGTATGTTGGCTCCCCTTTTGACCCCATACATTTCAAGACTTTATAACTTGACTACACTTATGTGCCACCACCAAGTAATAATCAAATGCTTACATTTGCTGTATTTATTTCTGAATGTTTTTGAGGAAATATACTTCCTTATATGGTTGAAGGCTTTGTGTTCCTCTCTGCAGTCTCTCTTTCCTTTCTTAGAAATAACCATCCCCCTGAATTTAAACAACATAGTTGCACTTCAGAATTTCCCACATCATTCTTCTGATGAATATGGAAACACTGAGAAAAGAAGACTCGTCCTCAGGTTCTCCCACACATTTATAATACTGCCAGCACTGAAGGCTTTCAGATATGGACAAAAATTTGTCTGCTAGAAAAATTCAGCATTTCCCAACTTACCACCAAAACTCTTAACCTAGAATTTTGTGTGCAGTTGCTTGTAATATACTTCGTGAAAATTCTGCCTAGAGGCATGTAATTCTTAAATTGACTTAACATTTATTTTATAGTTTTTCACTAACTTCTAGAGTTGGATGACAAAGATGGTAATAGTAGTAGTCACTTCAAGTTGGTGTTGGTCATCAGATCATGATGAGAATCATTTTACATAAAAGGATGAAAAATGCTAATAAATTGTGCATTCATTGATCACAGCACACATTACTTATACTCCTTAATTTTTTCAATTCTTGAATGCTCTGATCTTCTCAAGTGTCTACCTGTGGACCATGGCTTCACTTACCTCTGCCTTCAACTGATCTGTTACATTTTGTTTTTGTGATGGGGCATAGTCTAAGCTTGTTGTTAATGTTTAACACATTTTCTTAAGTGAGAGTTCTTCAACTTTTATATTGTACAAGATGGTACTTGAATTCTTTGTTTGCTTTTTTTCTTCCTGTATTAGAAAACCTTGGTGCTTTTTACAAATTATGTATAAAAGAAAATTTTCTTTGTTCATCTAATGACCTGATCCGGGAAAAATAAAATGGGAAAATGGACACTCCTTCTGACCTTCAAATAAAACTCATTATGTATTGGTTTTCAGACTGTTCACCAAGCTGTGGCTCATACGCGCTGTCTCAAGGCAAGGCTTTTAACTAGTGTGGGGTGATAGGTTCCTGAGGAACTGGTGAGGCTGAGGAGGAGGGGTTGGAATCCTGGGAGACTGGACAGAGACACACAATTCACACCCAGTTTCACAGAAGTCAGGGGATCTCTTACATTAAGAAAAGTGTCAAAAAACAGACCTCTTTCCTTTACTGGCTTCTGTTCTTCACCACGCTATATTGTGTTTCTGGGATGGAAAATAAAGAGCAGGAAGGTTCTGAGTACATCTGTGCACTATATTATCTAGAGCATTGTTACGGTACTTGCAGAGTTTTTTTGTTTTGTTTTTTTAGGAAAGGATAGTCTACTTTTCCAAAATCAATCCCCCTGCCCCTCGACATGAGTCAATTTTTTTTTCATTAGTTAGATTATCTTGTTTGCATTCAGTACCTTGCTGTTTGAGGGATGATAAGATAGCGTATTTGGTACTTTCTTACATATTGCTATTCCTGGGCTATACCTAATGCTACAGATGTTCCCCCAAAATTTAGCCAATGATTTATTTGGTGATCACATCTAACAGAGGTTGGGATTCCATAATAGGAACCTAATAAACGTTGGTATCGTGCACACTGAATGAGTGCAAGAGTACATACATGAATGTATGAAAGAATGATCAAGTGGAGTAAGCAGTCATTGTTTACCTCCTGTTCAGTATCAGTTTTCCACAGTTAACGGTTTCTTTCTGCAAGTAATAAGTTGAACATCATTTTGGGCCTGTTAATCCACAAAGCATTGTGGCACCTGTCTCCAAGAGATGCAGATGCTATCATTTTTCATGCAGATAGAAGGCCAAGGAATGTCAGTCACCTGACTTCCTAGCTAACAAATGTTACAGAATTTATTGTCCTCAAGACTTGACCTCTAAACATAATCCAGTGTGAAATTTGGGACCTTCGGTGTGGAGTTAGATAATGATTGCCATATTTCTTTATTCTTACAAGACCTTGACCTTTAGAATCATTCTCATCAGATGACTAAAAGAAGTAAAATTTACCTCTATATTTTAAAAAAGGTTTTATTCCTAAGTATTGGTTTCAGGAGACGGAAAGGATTGCAGAAGTTGTCACATGCTCAGTTACAGTTGAACAAGTGACAGCTGATTGAAAACAAAAAAGTGCCAGGGATTTAGCTCAGTGGTGCCGCCGCCTGCCTCGCAAGTGCAAGGTCCCGGGTTCAATCCCTGGGACCAAACAAAAAAACCCAACAAAAACAGAAAACAAAAAGTAGCGTTCTGCTACTTCATTTTGATACTGTTATTTAATGCAGTAGAGAGGGGATTGGATCAGAGAAAGAAAATGTGGGCCACTTCTCACCACTGGTTAATCCTTTTAGGCCTCTGTGCTTTTATCTCCACATATTACAGGGCTGGATGGTCCTATCTCTGATATCAAAGACAGCTTTTTTTGTTGTTGCTATTCATTGTATAACTGAGACAGTAAACACAAATAATGATTATAGAAATTTAAAGTGAAACTTTGGGCTAATTATTGTCCGGTAGAACTTTCTGTGATGATGGAGATGTTCTGTATCTGTCCTGTTTAATATGCTAGCAACTACTTATGTGTGACTTGAGTACTTAAAATGACATTAATATTTAAAGCCTTAAAGTTAAAATTAAAATTTTAACTTTAAAACCTTTAAATAGCTATATATGGCTAGTAGCTGCCATTTAGCAGCAAGCAAGTTAGGTTCTTAAGTATTTGTGGTCAAAGGGAATTTTGCTCATATATTTATGACAGTCTTGCCCTTACATAATGATCTACAACTGGAATATCCAAATTTTAAAGTTCTGTTGTTGCATCTCCAGTCTCACTGTTATCTTCAAGCATATCCTCCATTTGCAGTTGCACTCAGGTACGTCAAGTGTAGATAAAGTGTTAGGACCTCTCCCAGTGGTCCTGGACTCTACTTCCTATATCACTGAGTTCTTTAATTCCTTGTCATCCTCCAAAGGGTTGTGTGTATTTACCACAGTCCCCCGTAAACTGCTGTCAGTCCCCAGTAGGACTACACTTTGACCCTGTGGTAGGCTTTGTAACCTCTGAAGCAGGTTTCATGTTGTCTAGAGGCTTTCAAAATTAAAAACAAAAAATTTTAGGAACTTAATTGATCTGAGAAGTTTAATTAAATACCACTTTTAAAAAATACTTGGTCTGGATCCTTCAGTTTATGAGTGTGATGATTGGGTGTTCATGCTGTATGCATGAGGTGTGTGCCTCCCTCAAACCTTGTTACGACATTGGCACATTACCCTTCTAGTCTGTACTTGAAGGGCCTTTTCGATATTAAAAACAACAACAACAACAATAAAACAAACTTAGTCTTGGGCTGGGGATTTAACTCAGTGGTTCTGTCCCCTGCCTTGCAAGTGCAAGATACCGAGTTTGATCCCTGGTACCCCCTCAAAAAAAATCTTGGTCTTTTACTCGCAAGGGATTTTTAGTCCTAGAAATTATAGTCATTAGCAAGATATTTTTAGTACTAAAATGTCTTCGTCATTGAGCTACAGAAGCTGCCACCGGAATAAATTTTCTATCATGTCTGTATTAATTGCTTCAGCATTGTAAATACTACATTCTTGGAATTTCCATGTTTAAGGATCACAAAGAGCATCGACTGATTCTATCCAGAAACCTTTACTCTCAGAAATGAACAAATTTACTGTAGAGGCTTTTTTTAAGGGTGATGATTGAAATTGATAAATGATCTTTTGGTATCCAGTCATTTTTCTGTCAAACAGTACTTTTGTAAGATCATAGTTTTACATTGGGCTTACTGACCCACAAATACCCTTGGAACTTGTTTCAGTTTTACCGAGTCTGAGGTCTGTTGCACAGCTTCCAGGGACCGCATCTCTGGCTGGCTGTGCACTGTAAGTGAAGGCCACAGTGTCAGTGCTTTTTAAATGGGGAAGCCAAAGGCAGTTTCCATTATGAGTATTGTAATAAATGCCTTCTTTATACATCTTACTTCTCCCTGAAAGGTAGCTAATTTTACGTACATGGGACCATATTACACCTTGCTTTTCTGCATATATATTTTTATTTATTTAATTTTGGTGCTGGGGTTGAACTCAGGACCCTGTGCCTGCAGGCTGTGCGGCCATGTAGGTGCCACTAAGTTAAATCCCTGGCCCTGGATATATATTTTTTTAAAGGCAGGGTTATTGTGGTGTACTTAGGGTATATATATAAATTTTACCACTCATTCCACTTCTAAAATTTGTTTCCCAGCTTTCTACTGTTATGGACAAGGCTTCAAATACCATCTTTTTCTTTACTGGTACTGGGGATCAAACTTGGGACCTTGCACTTGCAAGGCAGGTGGTGGAACCAACTGAGGGAAATCCCTGGCTCCAAGTTTTTTCTTTTTTTTGAGATTGCTTCATTGTGTTGCCGAGGCTTGTCTAGAGTTTTTGGGCTCAGCAATCCTTGTGCTTCATGTAGTTGGGAGTACAGTTGGGTATCATCACACATGGCCATATATAAACAAAATCCTCAAGTTACTTTCTTAGGAGACTAAGTGTGTCAACGTTGACAAAAGAGGGTGGCCTTTTATCATTTGAAAGGCCTTTTATCATTTGAAATGGGTTTTGTCACTTCAGTGGAAATTGTGTAAACTTTTCTCCTGGAAGAAGGAAGCCATGGCCTATCAATTTGTTACTATGCTTGCTTAATATATGTTTTCTGTTTTCACTTAAAATATAAAAATGATATATGCTGCTCATAAAGATTCACACCTACTTACCAGAGGCACTTCACTGTTACTTAGTAAATTTAGATTTTTCTAACTCCCTCACAAACACTAGTTCATGTGTTTCAGAATTGAAAACATAGAGGTTGTGAGTATCCCTTGAGATATTTGGGACCAGAACTGTTTCTAATTTCAAGTTTTTTCCAGATTTTGGAATGTTTGGGTATACATAATGAGATGTCTTGAGGCCAGGATCTAAGTCTAAACACAAAATTGTTTCATGTGCACCTTATATGCATATCCTAAAGGTAATTTTATACTTTTTTTGGGGGGGTGGTGGTGATGGTACTGGGAATTAAACCTAGGATCTTCACACTGAGCTATATCCTCATTCCTTTTTAAAAATTTTTATTTTGAGACAAGGTCTTGCTAAATTGCCTGGGCTGGGCAACTCCCAGAATACTGAAATTATAAGAGTGCACCAGGTTCATCATTATTATTATTTTTTAGTATATGTTTGTGATACATAAATACATTCATCATGGGGAATTGGTATGTATACATACACAATATTTCAAATTTTAATTTTTGTGCACGGTGTGGAATTTTCTGCCTATGTCAATATGTTGCTCTTAAAAATTTTATGTTTTTTTTTTTTTTTTTTTGTTTTTTTTTTGGTTTCGGGGATCGAACTCAGGTCCTTGTGCTTGCAAGGCAGTCACCAGAACCACTGAGCTAAATCCCCAGCCCCTTAAAAATTATAAAGTACTGGAGAATTTCAGATTTTGATTTTTGGGTTAGGGCTGCTCTGCTTCCTTATTGAAAAGCGTCTTCTTACCATTCTCTCCGTGCCTACGTGGTTTCCCCTTTGGAGGCAGTTAGTATCTTGATTCTTGTCTGTTCTTTCAGACAGTTTATGCATTTTTAAACAAGTATTTATATGTTTGAGTGTGAGTGTGTGTGTGTGTGTGTGTGTGTGTGTGTGTGTGTGTGTGTAGGCTTTTAAGCTGCAAATGTTACCATGCTGAATCCTAGCCCTTTTTATTTTGAGACAGGCTCTTGCTGAGTCATTAAATTGCCCTGGCTTTGAATTTACAGTCCTTCTACCTCTTACCCTCTTGAACAGTTGGGCATATAGGCAAGCATTACCACACCCAGCTCACTCTCTCTTTTTTCCTAGCACATACTTAGATCACTTTTTTTTTGTTTACTTATTTATTTTTGGCTTTTTGAGACAGGGTATCACTATGTAGTCCAGACTACCTGGAACTCATTTTGTTGCCCAAGCTGGTCTCGAACTCACAGCGATCTTCCTGCCTCAGCCTCCTGAGTGCTGGATTACAGGCATGGCCCACCACGCCCAGCTGATAACTTTTTTTGTATTTAAATTTTACAGGCACATGATTCAGAAATGAAATAATGCTGGGTGTGGTTGCACACACATGTAGTCCCAGCACTAAGGGGCTGAGACAGGAAGATCAGTGTGAGTTTGAGAACAGCCTAGGCTACAGTGAGATAGAGGCCAATCTGAAGTACATAGCATTACCCTGTCTCAAAAAAAAAAAAAAAAAAAAGGGTAAAGACTAAAGAAGACATTGGGCCGGCGATTTAGCTCAGTGGTTCAACCACCTGTCTAGCAAGCACAGGGACCCAAGTTTGATTTCCAGTTCCAAAGAAAAAAACAAAAAAACAAAAATAACAACAACAAAGCGAAGACATGATTATTCTCTGTCCAGGTCCCTGTCTGCGATACCCTTCAGGATTCTTTATGCTTATGAGAGCAAACAGAAAAGTACATATTCTTGTTCATTCCTCCCTGTTACAACTCTGAAACTGACTTTTTGTGTCTCAGAAGGTAGTTTAGAATAGTCCAGAGCAGAGAGGCTCATGTGAGTCTCCTGCAGGTAGCCCCCCAAATGTATTTTGTAATATACTTGAGACGTACCTGAGAAGAGATATGTGTACACCCTTGGTGCTCCTTGAGTGCCCCATAAAATTTCTGTGCTGTCACATGTCAACTGTGATCCACGGCAGGTTCTCGAACGGTTGGAGGACTTTGCGTTTTAGAATCTTCATATGTAGAAGTAAATAATATACTTTTACTTAGAATAATACCATTCTTAAATATGTTTGTAGTGTTATTACATTTTTTATTTGTTTGCCCCATTTGAGCATCAGTACCAATCAGTTTGATTGCTTGGATTTTGCCAGAGGAAATTTTAGAGAGCTTGAGAAGACAAAGTTCAAGCAACTGAAATATCTTTGTTCCAATTCTTACACATTGATAGCCATTATATTTGCATATTCTTCTGTAAGATGAATATGTCTTTAAACTGGTATACTTTGTGTAATAAGTGTCTCAGAGTAGGTGAAGACAGAGATGGCTCCTAAGAATATATTGTTTTGCGCCGGGGATTTAGCTCAGTGGTTCCGCTGCCTGCCTTGCAAGCGCAAAGAACTGACTTCAATCCCCAGTACCAAAAAAAAAAAAAAAAAAAAAAGAATATATTGTTTTTCCTAGTACATTATAATTTGAAAATGCTTTTCATGCATTTGCAATGAACTCCAGTTTGAGCCATTAAAATTAATACATAGCTATAAATATTTGTTTTTAGGTGATACTAGCCTATAAATTTTAAAAAATTTCCTGACCTTGTCTTTTTAGTTTCAGATCATTAATAACAAAGTTTCTTAAAGGAATCGAGGTCCGAGAACGACTAACCAGTGTTTCTATTTGTTTTTCTGGCTTTTTTATTCAGATTTTAAATCTCATGTTTGCATATTAACTGGACATTCTGATAATTAAAATCATATGAGCAACAACAAAAAAGATACTCTTGAAACTGGGCATGGCGTCCAAGGCCTGAAAACCCAGCACTTAGGCTAAGGCAGGAGAATGGCAAGCGTGTTCCTGTCTTGTCCGTTAGGGACTTTTTGGCAGGATGCTGCCTCGGAGTAAAAAGGCCTGAGCCCGAAGCTCTGTCCCCCACAGCACTCATGAAATTGCCTCGTGCATCGTCCTCTCACCCCAACTTCTTCTTTGCCAGCATGCAGCATACAAGCTCTTCTTCCTCCCCGCCAGCCAGCCAGCCAGATGGCGGAGGCAGGCTAGGCCTTCTGTGTTCTTGATGCTTTGAGAAGTCAAGGGACTGCACAGACTTTTTCTCCCCGTACCCAGCTAGCCCAGTCATTTCGACGTGATGCGGCGTGCTTACATCTTAGTTAAACAGTTAAGAAGTAAAGAAGGCAAAGCTTGTGAAATGTACAGCATACATTCTTGGTACACACCTCATTATGATTCACCTGCTTGCTGCTTCTGTTCAGTTATTTCTAAGGCAAAAGATTTTCCTTTTCTGCCCTCTTCACTTCCGGTTTACCTAATTTCTCAATCTCAGGCAAGTTGAGTTTGGCAGACATGCTTACCAAAGAAGGAGAGTGAGATTCGAGAGCGAGTGGAATCCAGTTTGAGCAGCCAGTGCTGTCTTCAGTATTTTTCTTTCTTTTATTCTTTTTCTTTTTTACTTTTTGTGGTACTGGGGATTGAACTTGGGTCCTTGTACTTGCAAGG